AGTACATTCCGACCGCTGAGCAGCCGGCCGACTTCCTTACGGAGGCGCTGCTCTATCCGGCTTTCAACCGGTGCTCCGTTGCAATCGGCCAAGTGCGCCTGGCCGATGTGGGCGACGGCGACGATGACGTGCAGCAGTAGGTGCCATGCCCTCTTGCATGGCTAGTGCGGTGGACGACGTGCTATGTGTTGGGTGCACGTCGACGAGCTTTTCTCCGAGAAGTACTGCCGTGTGGGTTGGGGGCCCAAGCGTGAACGCGGCAGGGGAGTGTCAACGGGAGTTGTGTGTTGGCCCCGTCCTCGCTTGGGCGGAGCCGGCTTCGTGGTCGGGTGTAGGGGTGCAGCCGACCTGCAGCAGTGGGCAAGCTGGTCGACGAGGAAGTCGACCTTCACGAGTGCTACTGCATGGGCGCCGACTTCAGGATGGCGCCGACTTCAGGGAGGTCGACCTGGGAAGTCGACCTGCAGAGGGCGTCGACTTGGTGACGCCAACTTGGGGGCAGCCGACTTGGGTGGTTGGCTGACAGAATTGCTGGTCGACCTGGTTGGTCGACCAGGCCTGCTGGTCGACTTGGTGGCTGGTCGACCAGGCGTGATGTCGACCTGGTGGTCGACCGAACACGATGGTCGACGTACGAGGAGCCGACGTCGACCTCGATAGAGGGATTCAGGACGCCGAACTGTTGGGGGCGTCGGGTAGCAGGGCGTCAACTTGGTGACGCCGACTTCGGGTAGCCGACTTTGGGGTCGGCTGACAACTGTGCTGGTCGACGAGGAGCTGGTCGACCAGGAGTGACGTCGACTTGGAGCTGGTCGATCAACAAGGGGTAGTGGTCGACCCAGTGAGGTCGACTGAAGGTGGCCGTTGACTTGGGAGGTCGACCGGCACATACAGGAGCAGCTGGTCGACGTGGTTGCCCCGTCAGCCAAGTTACCTGGGTGACGAGGTTCTACGAAGGCACGTGACGGTCACCCAGGCAATGTTGGCGAGGACGATATTGGTGGTGGTATCCCGAGGTCAACGTGGCTGATCAGAAGTAGTCGTCAGCACGAAGTTGACTTGGTGTGTGCGCTGTGCAGGTGACGAGGCACTACACACCAATCAGTTGCGAGCACCTGCGAAGCAGGTGCGCTGCTGTCCTGCGGGAGCAACGTTGGCACGCCGTCAACCTGCGACGTTGGCACGTCGTCGACTTGCAGCATCGGCAAGCCGCGACTCTGCACTGCTGGAGCGCGGTCGACCAAGTCGTGCTGGCACGCGGTCGACCGTGCCGCGCTGGCAGTAGACTTGCTTGCATGCTAGCTCTGATATAGTCTAGTCTTGCCAACTTCGTTGTACCATTGTTGTGAACTTTTGCTAGTGAAACTCTTGCCAACTTTCCCTGTGAACCAGCAAGTAGTGCAAGCACAAGTAAACAACTATGTGGATGAACGCAGAGATCACACGAGCACCCGTGCCTAGCCCGTAGTCTAGCTCTCGTTGTAGTAGTTATCTCCGCAAGCAGGTCCACAGGAGCATGAGGAACAATGCAGACCCAGGAAGAGAAACCAATTGAGCAGTACTTGGCAAGGGCGGAAAAGGAAAGCAGCGGAGTGGCTTAAAAAGGAACCTTACCACACTCTTATCCCCATCGGCATCCCTCAACGAGGACCTCCTTCTCCCCCTACTACCCAATCCTTCCCCAGTCCCTCATCAACAAGTAGTCTGCTAAAGACAACGCTCTGACGTATCACTGATCCCCCCATAGCCCATTGACCCTTGACTCTACCCTCGTCGGCCCCTCTGACTCCACCCTCCTCAGCGACCTTGGCCCATCCACATACCATGGATCACCGCCACACCACCTCCCCTGCCCCAATATCACTGAAGAAACATTAGAATTCGAATATCAGAGGCATACACTTGCAAAGGACTCACCCCCTCCCTCCCCCCAACCAAACGGATACTGATTCTTGCCCTCGGCCTATCCCTCTCCTCACAGTCGATCGATCAGCCACACCCACAAAACGAAGCCTAATTCAGGGCCTTTTTTCACATGCCCACCAGCACCCTACGCACCCACGGACCTTTGGCACAAGCACCGTGGCCACCCATCTCAAGAGGTTCTCAACAATTGCATAAGAGTTTAAGTTTTCATCCCCAACACCCTACTTTGCCCCGATAGGTCCCTTCTCACCACTGAGAACAAAAGAGCCACCACATGCACCATTTTCTGAACCTCTGCACCACTGAACCAGAGCCCTTCAAGCTCCTCGAACCTAGCACAAACCGCTACAAAAAGTTCCAAACAGTTTACAGTGACTTTCTCATCCTCACACACACAGGCTTCAACGGCGAAGTATATACACTAACGTTCATAGACACCTACTCCTGCTTCGTCTGGGTCGCGAAATTCTCGAGGAGCAAGGCATGTGACATCTTCAATGTGTGATGCAGCAATGCACAAACACAATTCGGATCCACTATCAAGATCTGGCAAACGAACTGCGCTGCCAAATTCAAGAGCAAGGAGCTCAAAGCCTAGGCGCTGGACAAGGGAATTATCCACACGCTCTCCCTCCTCTGCGTCCACCCTTAGCAAGGAGTTGCTGAATGCAACAACATAACCTTAATAACTTAGATCCCCGCCCTCCTGCAGCAAAGCAACGTCGATGCAAAGTACTTGCCCTATGCCATGCACCTTGCTGTTTGCCTCCAGAATCTCCTGAGCACAATATCCAACACCGATAGACTATCCCTGCATCTCAAAATCACTGGTGAATAAGGGGAAATTTCCATGCTCCGTGTCTGGGGATGCATGGTGCAGTACCGCCCTACAACGGCCACCACAGGGAAGTTCGAACGTCACGCACGATGAGGAGCGCACATGTGGATAAGCTTCGAACACCATGCCCAGAACATACTAGACTTCAAAACCTCCACTGTGGTCACGGCGCGCGATGTCATTTTCTATGAGTCCCTCACCATCCTGCAGCTCAAATGAGACATGCACGCTGACAAACCACCTCACTACTACGCCACTCCTGCAGATGAAGCCGAAGCCGAGCTAGCTGAACAGGACCCCAAGAACTCACATCATGGACCACACCCTTGGAGCAACAAAAATGAGGATGAAGATGACACACAACTCGATTCCTCCCGTGACTCACTGGTGAGCCCCACCCCATCCAGTGGAAACCACTTCAATGACGACGTCGTGGAGGTCACTACAGATTAGCAGCACAGTTCCGGCCTGTCCGACCTCCAGCTCCTTGGCCCTCACATGGTAGTTACTCATCCGCCCAATGCAGACAAACCCTAAACCTCGCATCACGCACTCACCAGCCGTTACAGCAAGGAATGGCGTGTGGCAATGGACGCCAAAGTTGCCGCCCTCGAAGCTCGCGAAACTTGGGTCATTTTTTATTGAGTCGCATTGAAGGGGAGGGGTATCCCACCGAGAAAACGGGTATTTTGCATAGAAAAACGCGGCTGGCGGGATGAACGAAGGCTCGCTGGGTCGTTTGTGGCTTCAACCAACACCACGATCTCAAGTTCGACCAAACATTTGGGCCAGTTATTCACCACAACTTCGTTCACATAATCCTCGCCATCTCTTGCTCTGCCATATCAATCTATGCCAAGGTGGACATGCTCATTTTTTGTTCAACAACCCCATGCAGCGACGTCGTCGACCGCATGTGCCAGCTCAAGAAATCAGTCTACGGCATAAAACAACACCTCGTCTATGGCAAACATCACCTTCACTAGATTCTCACCAACACAAGCTTCACCCAGATAACCCACAATCTCGGCATGTATCACATTCGTTTTTGCTATTATTTTATCATCCTGACCACCTACGTGGATGATCTACTTTACAAAAGCACCAGCAACGAGCTTCTCGAAAAATTTGAGAAAAAAAAAAAACTCAATAACCACGTGGAAATTACAAGCACAAACAACATCAAGCAATTACTAGGTCTCAACATCTCCTACTCGGCCAATGTCATTCATCTCTACGCTTCGAAGTACGCAAACACTCTCTCAACTGGATTCATCATCAAGCCTGCATGTCTCTCCACATCTTACTGCACACCGACAACACCCCATATCCCCAACACCACCCCAGTCAACCCATTTGTGCACCAGCTCTACCAGCAGGAACTTAGGTGTGTCCTGTTTGCCGCAGTAACCCGCAGACCTGAACTATTCTACGTTTCAATCCAACTCGCCTAGTATGCTAAGCGACTTGAAGGGGAGAATATGTTAGATTTGCAGCAGGTCTTGCAGTACTCAAACTTTTTCAAACCTCACGACTAGCTCGTTCAGCCTCGTTGGCTACGTTGACGATGATCATGCCGCCGATCCAGCAAATCGACGATCCTGGATCAGCTTCCTCTTTCGCCTCCGGCCCTTCGCACAAATCTCCTGGAATTCCTAGAAGCAAGATATTGTGGCGCTCTCCTCTGCTGATGCAGAATCTACTGCCTGTAAGTCAGCTGTTCGAGAAGGACTTTACCTTCACAAATTGCTCTAAGAAGCAAAAATTGCAACATCCGCACACATCAAATTTCAGTGAGACAACAAAGCGCGATAAAAATCGTGAACAAAACCAAGCTTCCTCAACCGCATGAAACACATTGCACTTTGATATTTCTTCATGGAAGACGAAGTTGACAAGGGCAAAGTCATCTTGACTTATAGCCCCACCGGTGACATGGCAGCTGACTTCTTCACCAAGAAATTGCCATGTCAACAGTACCACCACTGTGCGAGCATCGGTGGTATAATCAAGTGTGCCCATTCTTTTCTCCTTCATGAATGAAGGAGAGTGTTATGATATTGAAGAGTTGGAAAACATTCGTAGAGTAACAAAGTCCCAATGTGAAGATGACGGCAACAAGAACGAAGCATCGCGCCTCACCCATCGATCATTGCTACTCACCCATGTGATCAACGTAACTCAATTGTCGATCATCACCTCACTAAACACAAAAACAAAAATCACAACAACAACATTACACAACGACGACAACAACGACAACGACAACGATGACAACAATGACAGCAACAACGACGACAACAACGACGACAACAACGATAACAGCAACGACGACAACAATGACGACAACAACGACAACCACAACAACAATGACAAGAACAATGAAAACAACGACGACAGCAATGATAGTAATAACGGCTATTACCATGACGCCGATGATGACGATGATAACAACAACAACATCAACAGCAATAACAACAACGACGACGACTACGACGACAACAACTGCAACAATGACAATAACAACAACAACAATTGAAAACTAACTATATTCATTGCAGAGTTTACCTTGTGAATATGTAACAATAGCAGCCGTACACGACAAAGGCCGACTAGAGCAGTACGCTAATCGTTCGTGCTTTGCGCTTTATGGTTAGTATCGAACCTCCGTTATTTGAAAAATGTTGCCACGGTATCTCTTTACTGTAAAACTATGAAATTTGCCATGTGCACAACCCCGACGCTTATCACCAAATTATCATGACATGAAACACCATATAAAAAAAAGCTTTGTTACGCTAACTGGAACTTATTGCATACCAAATCATGCCTGAATACGTGGCACTTGGAAACTCCAACAACAAGAATTGAATAGCAATTACAGGGTTGTGTATTCTACTTGCTTCAAGTCTATAGATCTGCCTGCTCAAAACATGCAATATACAACCAGCACACTAGTGAGATCATAATACTGGTATGAAACGAGGATATGCTAGTATCAGGTCTACTTTGCAGTAACATGCGGCGATCCCTCCGTCCCAGAACTAGTTTGCCAATTTCGCTCGCAACAATTCCGCTTGAAGCGAGTCGATAAATTCGGTGGAAATCCCTGCCCAGCTCATCGCTTGTTCGCCGCGCCTCACTCCTCATTGCTCGCGCTCACCCATTTGATCGCCGCAACCAACCGTTGATCACTGCCTCTCTGACTATTATGACTTGATCTGTGGTCTGTCCATACTGACACGTCTGCTTTGGAGAGGTAGCATCGCCATACATAGAACGCGTGGACGATCAATAACACCTGGCGGTCATGTAGTGGTAGCTGCTTTCGGGCGGTTGAAGCTTACGAGACTAGTATGCGATTGGCTCAAGGCCGTTCTTGCAACAGTACTGCTCCCACGGAGATGTCACTTGCGTCGGTGACCAGTTTGAACGGGCGGTGTGGGACGGCAATGTGCAGTATGGGCGGCGAGCACAAAATCTCTTTGAGGGATGAAAAGGCATCTTGCTCTTTCTCCCCCATGTGTACTCAACAACCTTTCTCAGCAAATCTGTTAGTGAAGCAGTTAGCTTCACCATATTGGGGACGAACCGACGCACGTAATTGACGAACCCCGAAAAACTCTCTAGCTCAGTCAAATTTCTCGGCGCTTGCCATGCTTGAATTGTCGCGATATTTTTCATGTCTATTTCTACTCCATCTTCTGAAATAGTGTGCCCCAAAAACTCTAGTCTGTCCTATTGAAAACACACACATAGACGCCTTTGTGAGAGTGCACCAACAACCCAGTTGGTCCGACAGGTCCATTGGACCAACAGGCCAGTTGGTCCAGCCGGTCCATTGGACCAACAGGCACGTTGGTCCAACCGATCCATTGGACCAACAGGCCAGTTGGTTCGACCGGTCCATTGGACCAACAGGCCAGTTGGTCTGACCGGTCCATTGGACCAACAAGCTAGTTGGTCCGACCGGTCCATTGGACCAACAGGCTAGTTGGTTCGCAAGTTGGTAAGCCTGGTCCATCGGACCAACAGGTTAGTTGGTCCGGCCCGTCCATTGGACCAACAGGCCAGTTGGTCCGACCGGTCCATTGGATTAACATGCCAGTTGGTCCGCCCGATCCATTAGACCAACAGGCCAGTTGGTCCGACAGGTCCATTGGGCCTTGGGCCAACAGGCCAGTTGGTCCGCCCAGACCATTGGACCAATAGGCCAGTTGGTCCGACTGGTCCATTGGACCAACAGGCCAATTGGTCCGACCGGTCCATTGGACCAATAGGCGAGTTGGTCCGCCTGGTCCATCGGACCGACAAGCTACTTGGTCCGACCGGTCCATTGGACCAACAGGCCATTTGGTTCTATCGGTCCGTTGGACCACCAGGCCAGTTGGTCTGACCGGTCCATTGGACCAACAGGCCAATTGGTCCGACCGGTCCATTGGACCAACAAGCCAGTTGGTCCAACCGGTCCAATGGACCAACAGGCCAGTTGGTCCGACCGGTCCATCGGACCAACAGGCCAGTTGGTCCGACCAGTCCATTGGACCAACAGGCCAGTTGGTCCGACCAGTCCATTGGACCAACAGGCCAGTTGGTCCGACTAGTCCAATGGTCCAATAGGCGAGTTGGTCCGCCCGGTCCATCGGACCAACAGGTCAGTTGGTCCTACTGGTCCATTGGACCAACGGTATAGTTGTTCCACCCGGTCCATTGGACCAACAAACCAGTTGGTCCACCAGTTGGTCCGCCCCGTCCATCGGACCAAAAGGCCAGTTGGTCTGCCATGTCCGTCGGACCGACAGGCCAGTTGGTCCGACCGGTCCATTGGACTAACAAGCCAGTTGGTACTACTGGTCCATTAGACCAACAGGCCAGTTGGTCCGACTGGTCCATTGGACCAACAGGCCAGTTGGTCCGACCGGTCCATAGGGTAGAGCAACAAGCCAGTTGGTCCGACGGGTCTAATGGACCAACAGGCGAGTTGGTCCGACCGGTCCATTGGACCGACAGGCTAGTTGGTCCAACCGGTCCATTGGACCAACATGCCAGTTGGTCCGACCGGTCCATCGGACCAACAGGCCAGTTGGTCCGACCAGTCCATTGGACCAATAGGTGAGTTGTTCCGCCCGTGTGAGTATCTAGGATCGAGCTCAAAAAAGTGAGTTGGAATTGAATTATGCACCTGGGTACAAGGCGAGGCTATATATAGGCTCGACACAAAGCAGGTAACCCAGGTGTTACGCGAATGTTCCGAGGGTCGTTAAGCGTCCCGAACAGACCCTTCCCGAATTCGGTAGAAGGCAATTCGGTGGCAATCGAAAAGCCTAGAATTTGGTGCGCTCAAGCTAGTTCGGTGCCTATTACAATAATAACTATAGTAAAAGCAACGAACCTAGGAAATCAAGCAAAAGCAAGCAAAGCAAAATAATGCTAAGCTAGATAATGCATAATAAAGTCCAGGCAAGCTAGCAAAGCCAGCATAAGCCGTCGTACTCTCACACGTCCCCCCCTCAAAGCTGGGTGGCGTGAGATACACCCTGCTTGACAAGATAGTACTTGAGAGCACGGCGTGCGTTGCCCATATCAGCTTCTGGCACCCAACTGTCCTCAGTGGGGTTGCATCCCTTCCAGCGTATCATGAACTCGAGGGTCTTGCCGTCGCGGCACCGATGAGTGAGAACGCGCTCGATCTCGTACTCTGGTTCATCCTGTACGAGTACAGGTGGTGGTGGCGGTAGCTGCCGTCCCTGGAACTGTTGGTTGGGGTCCTTGTAGGGCTTCAGTAGCTGAACATGGAAAGCGTTGTGAAGCTTCCACATATCTAGTAAGCGCAAGCGGAATGTAACTGGTGTCACCTGTGCCTCCACGAGAAATGGACCACAGAAGCGAGGCCGGAGTTTGGATGGTAGGTGAGACAGGTTCAAGTTGCGCGTGTCGAGAAGCACCTGATCTCCGACTGCTACTGTGTCATCTCGTCGCTGATGATCAGCATACTGCTTCTGGGAGTTCTGCATCGTGGTGAGACGTCGCTGAGTCTTCTCCCATAGCTGTTGCATGGTGGTGACGAAGTCGTGTGCGGCTTGGACGTGTGCCAGTGTGGTTGGCTGCTGTGGTGTGAGTGGTTCCCGTCCGTAACACAGGAAGAAAGGAGTTTTTCCTGTGGCCGCATGTGAGGCGTTGTTGTAAGCGAACTCTAAGGTCGATTACTGGTGTGTCCCAGTGGCTGATGTCGCAGTAACTGTTTAACCACCTGATTGTGTCGCTCCGTCTGTTCGTTAGTCTGAGAATGGTATGCTGAAGACAATGCAAGCTTAGTCCCCAACAGTCCCATGAGCTCCTTCCAGATTTTACTCGTAAATTTGGGATCTCTGTCTGAGATGAGTGTAGTGGGGATGCCGTGGATGGTGATGATGCGGTCGAAGAAGAGTCGAGCAGTTGCTTCAGCTGTAGCTGTGGCGTTGGTCGGTATGAAGTGACCCATTTTGGAGAACTTACTGATCACTACGATGATGGAATCATGTCCACATGAGGTCGAGGAAAGTCCTGTGATGAAGTCGAGACTAACGACCTGCCATGGCTGCTTCGGTATAGGTAGAGGCTGAAGTAACCCTGCTTTTTTCTGCTTGCTACTCTTCATCCGCTAGCACGTGTCGCATGAGGTGACGAACTGCTGCACGTCTGCTGCCATCCAGGGCCAGTAGTAATACTTCGCTATTCCCGCTAACGTCTTGTTACTCCCGAAATGTCCCGCGTATGGTACGTCATGAAACTCCTCCAATAGGATCTGCCGTAGCGGGGCGTAATTTGGTACCCAAATCTTTCCCGATCCCTTTCTTACAGCTAAGTCATTCTCCCACTGTAACAGCTTCTGTTGTTCTGCTGTAGAAATCTCTGCGTCCACGGAGTATCCATGTTGGAATAGACCCTTGAGCAGAGGGTTCATCCCGTCGAGCTGGATGCCTGCTACATGTCCGGGGCGGCTCAACGCGTCTGCTTTGTTGTGTAGCCCGGGCTTGTAGACGATGTCGTAGTGGAAGTGGGTTTCCAGGAAGTCCACCCACCGCACCTGTCGTCGTGAGAGTGTCGGCTGCGACTTCAGGTATTTGAGGCTGCAGTGGTCAGTGTAAACTGTTGTCTGTTATACACACTGTAGGCTTCAATGTGCCTAAAACGAAAGATAGAGTGCGCAGTCAGATTTCTGCACAACGGCTTAAAACGTTCATTGCGATCTGGTCACAGCTCGAAATGACCTTATTCAACTTGTATCTCGAGCGTCTTAACGTCGCCTACAATAGGCAATTTAGATCGCACGATTTCATTAAGAATTGACGACACAGGGTCGAATTGAACGAACGGCACTATGGCAGCAACATGGTCTTAGAACAAACAATTAGGAAGAACTAGGAAGAGTTACGAGTTTTTTTTTTTTTTTTGGAAAGAACTCCCAGCTCCTACAAACCCCAAGAGCCGAGGTACAGTGATGGGGAATAGTGCCACACTGTCCCCAACCAAGAAGGGTCTCGAAACTACCCTCCACAAGGGCCTACACCTATGGAAATGCTACACTACACATTGTAATGTAACAATCTTCAATATCTTGAGGTGTACCCTTTCGGCGAGCTTCGAAATCACTTGAAGCTTGCAACCAAGGCTCGGGTTCTTCATCACAAACTCATCCTTGAGTTCTTGATGGGTCTGCTGCACACACCTGCGACACGCCGAACGTTCAACAAGCGACAAAATAGAAAATGCGCACGACAAAATAGAAACGGCGCGG